CCTACCCTTTTGACCCAGACCTGTATTTCCAGGGTTATCTCGCTTCTGACTTCTTGGGAGTCTGCCCTGACCCTGCACTACAACTGCCCTAGCTTGACCCTCAGGATTGTTGTCTGCTATTCTGACTCTTGTTCCACTCTGTTTAGGACCTCTGGAGTTGCCTCTGACCTTAGTTCTGTTGCAAGATCCCAGGAACTGGCACTTCCTGCTCTTTGACATAATAACCTGTCCCCAATTCTTCCACAGGCATCCTGAAGAATAGGTTGCAATACCCATTGGTGCCCCAGACTCGAGGCACTCCTGAGCTGTCCTGGTGCCGTGCAGCTACCTTGGGCCACCGTGCTGTGCCAGCTGCCTCCTATGGTCGAATCTATGCAGGTGGGGGCACAGGTAGCCTTTCACAGCCAGCCAGCCGCTACTCTTCTCGAGAACAGCTGGACTTGCTCCTAAGGCGACAGCTGAGCCGAGAGAGACTAGTGGAAGTTCCAGTTCCTGCCTCTGTTTTGCATCCCCTGAGCAGGCCAGGCTCCCAGGAGCACCTGGATGCAGCACCAGCCCGCCTGGAGCCCAGAGATCGGGGAAGCACGCTACCACGGAGGCAGCCACCCCGGGACTACCCTGGCACTATGGCTGGACGCTTTGGGTCACGGGATGCACTGGACTTAGGGGCACCCCGAGAATGGTTGAGCACACTGCCCCCACCCCGCCGCAACCGGGACCTTGACCCCCAGCACCCACCTTTGCCCATGTCTCCACAGCGGCAACTCTCAAGGGACCCCCTCTTGCCATCTCGACCCCTGGACTCTCTATCTAGGATCTCGAACTCTCGGGAGCGTCTGGACCAGGTGCCTAGTCGGCATCCCTCCCGAGAGGCCCTTGGGCCAGCCCCACAGCTTCTCAGAGCCAGGGAGGACCCTGCCAGTGGCCCTACCCATGGCCCCTCCACGGAGCAGCTGGACATTCTCTCCTCTATCCTTGCCTCCTTCAACTCCTCAGCCCTGTCCTCTGTGCAGTCCTCAAGCACACCCTCGGGCCCTCACACCACTGCCACGCCTTCTGCCACAGCCTCTGCACTTGGGCCTTCCACACCTCGCTCAGCCACATCCCACAGCATCTCAGAGTTGTCACCAGATTCAGAGTAAGCAGAGCCCAGAGCAGGTGCTCACACTCTTCTCAGCTTGGAGTAGCTTCCCCATGTACCCATGCCTGAGTTCAACCGTGGAATGAATTGGGAGTTAACCCATAGACATGGGCTACCTCAGGCTCAGCACAGCCAGGAGGCCATATGTTAGGAACAATTCTAGAAGAAAATGGGAACAGGACTAGCTGGAACTTGCTGGCTATATGGTTAGAGCCACCTTCTCCACCCTAACATTTCAGAAAAGTCATCCCAAAGGCTGGAACTAGTGGAGGGGATAGGCAGGAGTCAGGGCATCAGAGTACGGGATAACCTGGTATTTGCATGAGGTAATGAGAGGAACCTTTGTTCAGTTGGCCCTGCCTAAGAAGTCATACGGAATACTAGCATATGATGCCAGACTGAGCGATGACTGAGAATAAACCTTTCACGCATAGCTGTAGCTCATCAGCATTTGACTGCTCCTGCCTGTGTACGGGCACTGTGGGGTTAGCCATAGTACCACTCAAGTGCCTATACTGCATCTGTGGGGTCGAGGATGTCAGAGACACCCAGAATCCAAGAAGGAATGGGGGTGGAGCAGGGAAGGGCTATTACCAGACCCAGAGCAAGCAGGGCAGAGCTAGGGAGCTGCCAGGCCTTACAAGCCAATAGGAGAGCTCTCTATCAAAGAGAAGCCGCAGGTCAAGCTCTGGGTGAAAGATGACTGTGAGGGAAGTGGGCCTCTGGGTTTGGGGTAGAGAACCACGACCACGAAGACTGAGCAGGGCCCTTCCTCCTCTCTGCAAAGGACAGAGAGGAGGAAGCAGGGGCTTAGGGCCTGGAGTTCCAGGGGGATGCTGAAAGGGAAGGCTGAAAAGGAGATAACCCACTCAGGTCCCCTGCAGTCTAGCCTTGGAGTCTGCAGAAGTGCCAGGGGACTGAGTAGGGACTCAGGCTTTAGAGTCACAAGAGTCTGAGTTTGGGTTCCATCTCTCTCTCCTACGACCTTGGCACAGACAGTACAAGCTACACAGTAGCTCTTCATCTGTAGAGTTGGTTTATAGAAACAAACTCCTTGCAATGCAGAGATTTGTGATATATCTGTCTTCCGGATGTTTTGTGGAGTATCTGCATAGAAGGTGGCTTGCTGAACTCTGAGAGGCTTAGGCAGCCACTTGCTAATGAGTCTAGGTAGTGGAGGTCCAGATGGGTATTTGGAGGGCTCAGAATCCAGGAGTGGGCATGAAGGGCCTGAGGGCTGAGAGGCAAAGCTCTCTTAGCCATGGCCTTCTGTTTCCACATTCCACTCAACAGAGTTCCCAGAAGTGAAGGTCACTCCTGAGGGGCTGACCAGCCAATGAGGAGCCACCAGGGACAGCAGAGGATTTGGGCTGATGGAAGAGACTTCAGGACTGATCCTAAGGCAGCCTTCTTCAAACCTGCCCCTCAACTCAGCACAGTGCAGTATGAAGGTCCCAGGCACATCTGTGAGCATGCGTGTGACAGGTGCAGGGGTGGGGCTGGAGAGAGGACTTTTATACGTTTTGTACCTTTGTAACCAGAGAGATATGCTTATGTTATTTTTCAGCTTTTCTGTCTCCCAGGGGTCTGAGACTGGGCTGGAAGGGGAAGAGGATGGGAGAAGATGCAGTTGGCCTCATTTGGGTCCTTAGCAAACCATCTTTTCTTTTCCTTTATCCACCCCCCCACCCCCCCTTCCCCACATCCATCTGAACACTGTTGGGGCCCAGAATGCAAATTTGACCTTTGCATTTCCTCTGATGCCCCATAAGCCAAACTCCTGTGTTTGGAGGTTGGTCTTGGAAACAGGGGTCCTCCCACCTCCGCCTAAGGGCTCACTTGTGCCCTGCCCCTGTGGAGTCCCTGCCACTTACTGCCTTAAGACCTAGGACTGATGCTGTGGGTGCCGGGAGAGCAGCAGCGGTCGTGTTTACAGATCAAGGCTTCCAGGTCTCCCTGGGGAGAAACTTGGGCCTCTAATCAGACATTCCTATCAGGGAGTGGGTGGAGGGGGACACTCCTTTGTCCCTGCTCCTTCCCCTGCCTGAGCAACACTAGTCTGTGGTGCCATTGTTCACTACACTGCCCCTCTGCGGGATAAGTGGGAGAATGAACAAAGGGAGCAGAAACAAGGGAATCCAGACCCAGAATGTAGGTGCCACAGCTCCCACTGTTTACAGGGTCCTCCCTGGCTCCAGGCTGTGGTGGTGACTGCCCCACCTTCTGTTGTCCCCTTATAGAGGGAAAAATGACTGTTAGGACCCTGTTCACAAAACTCTTTTGTTATTTGTCTGATGTTCATGACTGGGGACTTTAAATTTTTGTTATTTTGTTTACAGGTCAAGATTATTTTTTTAAAGTGTTGGTTTTATTTACTGTCTACAACTTAAAACCCTGAATTTACACACTTGGTTTACAGTTGAGAATGTTTCCCCGTTTGTTTACAAGTGAAAGGTAGAAGTGGGGGAGGGGCTTAGAAGACTTCCCCGTGATGTCCCTGGACCTGGCCATCTTGAGGGGGCTTCTAACTCTGACCTATCCCAGGTCAAAGGTCAGCTGTGTCTTCTGTTTACCAGCAGGCCCTGAAGGAGGCTCAGGGCTGGGGTTCTGTGCCCACCCCGACCCTCCCACCTCTACCTGGCACTTACACTTGGGAGGCAGTTTCTGAGATTCAAAAATCCCACTTCGCTGCCTGTGCCAAACCCCACAACCAGGTCCCTAGCTCCCCTTGCCCAGACTGGCCTGACCTCTGCCCCTGAAGGGCTGAGTGGCCTGTTGGTGGGAGAGCGTCCTTGCTATTTCCCTGGTTCTGTAGCTGCCCATCTCTGGGGTCTCCCTCCAGCACAGTGGCCCTCTTCCCTGTTTGTGGAAATTGTTCCGTGAAGCCGCGCTCTGTTTTGGGAATAAACTTCTATAGAAAACACTTGTTCCTCTTTCTATTTCAGATGTAGGATGATTGCTATGAATGATTCACCCAGAATGACCTTTGAAGGAATCTGCGCCCTCCTCCCTCCAAAATATCCAGTTATTTTTAGCCCATTTTATGGCAGACTTGGACCAGGTTCCTATTTCTTTCTGAAATATGGCCTCTCATCTTGTGATTGGGGCCTGAAGTTAGGGCACAGGAGGTGGGCGAGAGAAGCCTCCTTCTGGGTTAGATGTATCATAAGGGCTGCCTTATACCCAGAGACTGGCATTGGTGGCCCTGCCCATTTGTCAAACCAAACCCAGGAGTGGCCTTTCCCACCCACACCCTGGCCCTTACTGGTCTTTCTGACTTGGATCTGGCTTGAAACCTGAAAGCTCAGGGGAGCCTTCCCTTCCCTTCCGAGATGACTGCCTGGGGTGGGCTTGCAGAGTGAGAGGGAGGGGACCCTCCCAGCTCCGTTTCCAGTCTAGGCAGCACGGAGAAACCTTGATTTGGGCAGGGGGAGTAGGCGGGAGGTCTTGAGGCCCACTGTGCCAGGTCTCAGAGGGAAAGCCTGAGGGTGGTGCTCACAGCTTGGTGGTCCCTGAGAGACGCCACAGACCTGGACCTCCCACAGTTGAGGTTGGGACCCCTGCTTTCACTTCTAGGCATCCAGATTATTCAAGGATTTCTCCTTGCACTACGGGGACCCTTTACAAAGTCGAGCGTAAGATCAGACCCAATCCACTCAGGGGCATAGAGGCACAATACAGGCACCTTTGTTCGGGTCCTCCAGCTCCAGGCAGCTGGTTAGTTAGCAACTCGAGTTCCGGGGGAGGACTTAAGCTAGGCCGCTGGGAAGGAAAGGGTTAAATCTTCATCCTCCAGGCTCGCCCCGCCCGGATAGTATGACTTAGGTTCCACCCTAGAATTCTCATTGGTCTGAGCATGCACATCCTGGCGGGGGAGCGTGATGCCAGCCACGTTCCCGGCCTGGCGCCACCTTCCCGCCGGTAGCGGCCTCCCGCTGGAGCTGTCAGAACAGCGGTGCTCGAGCTACCTGAGGGCAATGGGGCTGTCCGATGGGTCCGGTGAGTTACAGGGCGCCGCTCGAATTCCGCGTGTCCACGAAGTGTTAGTAGTCCTGTGACTCCCGGCCTAGGTCAGTGCTGAAAGGGAACCGCCGAATTCCCAGCAGGCGTTTCCTGCATGCACAGCCTCAGTTTACCGCCTTGCCGATTTTCCGCAGGTGGTTGTCCATCAGCAGGGAAGGATGGGGGCGGGATCCGCCGCGACCCTAGCTCTTAAGGGTTGCACCGAAAGTCTCTGGATTGCTAATGAGGGGGCCGCAGGGAGGTTGCTGTCTGCCAAGGAGCCCCAGGCCCAGGAGGTGTGCCGGCTGGGCGCGTTGGGACCGGGAGACAGACCGGTGCAAGACAGGCTCTGGCCAGACCGGGGACTGCGGCGGCGGCCGGCCGGAGTCCGCGTGGTTTTGAGCACTCCGGCTCCGAGGGCCTTTGTACCCTCCCAAAGGGCGGTGCCAAGGATCAAGGCTCCGCCCCGAGGCGCGTGCTGCCTGGTAAGGGGAGGGAGCCCTTTAAGAAGACTTGAGTGATCTCGAAGGAGGGGAGAGGAGCCCCTGAGGTCTCCGCCAGCCAGCGGGGCAGGGAACCTCTGAGGATCTTTCTTGCACCTGCTCTGCCCCTCCTCCAACTTGGACACCCAGGCTAGCGGCTCTTCCCAGGTGAGTTCCTACCCTCTGGTGGGATCCTCTCCTCTGGTTAGACAGCTGCTTCCACATCAGAACTGACGGCTGAAAACTTGCCCAAAATGCTAGTTCTCCCTTCAAATTTACCTCCTCTCGAAATACATTCTCAGAGGAAAATTGAGTATCATATGGCGTGCCCTCTCCCCCAGCTCAGTTTCTTCTGAGGGAACTCGCCAGATGAGACCTCTCCCCCACCCCATACTCGCCGGTAAAGTCTGTCTCCCAGGGTCCAAGGCAGGCGAGAGGTTCACCCCCAGGTCAGAACTTGCCCGGCTGGTGATGGCTCTCTGGGCAGGGTTCCCTCTAGGTTGGATTGGCTTCTGAAAGCTCTTGTTTCCAGGTGAATTTTCCCTACTTGAAGTGGGAGCCTGTCTCTGGAGGTGAGAGCTTGAACCCTGTCCTGAAACTTGGGGGAAGTGTTACTTACTGATCTTTGGTTTGCTGGGTCCTTTCTCTGAACATGCTTCCCCTCCAGCCAGCGAGGTAGGGCCTGTGGTGCAGCTGGAAAAGGCACTAGATAGGAATTGGTTCAGGAAAGGCAAGGGGCTGAGAGGTAGGGGCTAGGAGGGGCAGCCAGTCTGAACCTGGACCCAGACCTGGACTTGGACTTGAAGTGGTACTCGGGGTTGGGCAGCCACACCTGAGCTGGATGTGTAGGTTCTGCTCATCCCACTCTCCCTCCCTCCCGGAGAGACTTTGGCCCAGAAAGAGGTTTCTAGCAGCCAAAGTTCAGGTACTGCCCCTGTCTGGGTGTGAGCACGGGGCCCTCAGAGACCAGCAGAGTTGGATCTACCCTTGATCTTTGAGCCTGGAATCTCAGGTAGGTGACTCTGTGGTCCCAGGTGTAGGAAAGGTTGGAATTGGGGATCCTTATTGTCTGTCTGTGGTCTCACCTCTCTAGACCACGGAACGCAGCAGACACAGGCACTCCTGTCTGCAACACGGGAAATGGAGCTGCAGAGGCGAGACTACCATGTAGAAAGGCCACTGCTGAACCAGGGGCAGCTGGAGGACCTGGGGCACTGGGGCCCAGTGCCCAACACCTACCAGTGGCGAACTTGGTTTCGGTAATGATGAGGGTCGAGGTCTGGGGTGTTCTGGCAGGGCCCAGTCCTGTCTCTAGCAGATTCTTCATGTCCCCAGATGCTCCCGTGCTCGGGCCCATGCTCTTCTGCTCCATTATGTTCCAGTCTTGGGCTGGTTACCCCGCTATCCTGTGCGTGACTGGCTCCTGGGTGATCTATTGTCTGGCCTGAGTGTGGCCATCATGCAGCTTCCACAGGGTGAGCTATCTTCAACAGCCTGGACTGTGAGCTCTGTGGTCTGTAAAACGCCAAACCAGGAGCCTTGGAACTATGGCCCCTGAACCCAGAACTTGGATTTCCCTACCCTTTTGAGACCCTATTCTCCAAGTCTGCATTGCAACCTTCTGCCTTCAGGCTTGGCCTACGCCCTCCTGGCGGGATTGCCTCCCATGTTTGGCCTGTACAGTTCTTTCTACCCTGTCTTCGTCTATTTCCTATTTGGTACCTCTCGACACATCTCTGTGGGTAAGTGGATTCAGGTCTAGCTTTTCATAGAGGGTGTCCTCTGTGGAGGGGAGGGGCAGGCTAGGCAGGGCAGCTTAGAGAAGAGGGCGGTGTCGGTGCTCGATGCTAAGAGAATAGCATATGGACCACCCCAAAAAGTACTAGGAAACTGACTGTAGAGATTACAGGGTCAGGATATCTCAGAGCCCTGGCTTCCGGGTGAATGAGGCAGTCCACGGGTCCTGGAAATTCCTAGAGGCCTGTCCATAACCCTTTTCCTGCTCCCAGAGAACATGGTGTCTCAGGACACTTGTTAGACAGGATGGGGAGATGGGGTCAACATTACTGGCTAGCCTTAGGAGCATGTGAGCTCGAGGTTCACTTCTGACCTTGGTCATGTCCAACCAGTACTACCTCCGTTTGTACAACTGTAGTCCCAGGGTCTGTGTTCAGAATGGGTTGTCTGTTGGCTTCTCTTAATTAAGACCAGGGTTCCAGAGCAGGGCAGACTTCCCCCCTCTTCAGATCTGCCCTGTCCTTCCCCTTCAGGGACCTTTGCTGTAATGTCTGTGATGGTGGGCGGTGTGACAGAATCCTTGACTGCAGATGATGCCTTCCTGCAAAGCTTGAATGCCACAGTTGATGACGCCCGAGTGCAGGTGGCCTACACACTCAGTTTCCTGGTTGGCCTCTTCCAGGTATGGATCAGCCATCCCCTTGGTGTCTGGCTGACACTGTGTCCTCCCAATGTTTGTTTATCCCCCTGACCCCACTTCCCTTACGAGCTCAGCCTCTGACTTTCCCTGACCACCGGACAGGTGGGGCTGGGCCTGGTACACTTTGGCTTCGTGGTCACCTACCTGTCAGAGCCTCTGGTCCGCAGCTATACCACAGCTGCATCTGTGCAAGTCCTCGTTTCCCAGCTCAAGTATGTGTTTGGCATCAAACTGAACAGTCACTCTGGGCCACTGTCCGTTATCTATGTGAGTGAGGGTGGGGCCAAGGGTGGGTAGGCGTGTTGTGCCCCATGCATGACCTTGAACGCTGGCTATAACACCACCTCTCCTCAGACAGTGCTGGAGGTCTGCGCAAAGCTGCCCGAGACTGTGCCTGGCACTGTGGTCACAGCGCTTGTGGCGGGCGTGGTACTTGTGATGGTGAAGCTGTTGAATGAAAAGTTGAAGCGCCATCTGCCCCTGCCCATACCTGGGGAACTACTCACGGTTGGTTCGGGTGCCAGGGAATGGTGGGCAGGGGAGAAGGGCAAGTGAGGGTAGATCTGGCCGGTATACAACCTCAAGGCATTTAAGGACCAGATGGAGTGACCATGGTCAGCGTTCCTAGGCGTGGTGGGGGAAACTGCAGCAGAAAGCCTTCCATTGGCCTCTTCCCATCCTTGACAGCTTTATCTCCACCGTCAGATGACAGTGTTTGCCTCCCACCCTATCCACAACTTCTCGTTCCTCAGAAACAGATTTTGCCCCCCATAGTGCTTTACCTTTCCTCCCTGCCCTAATCCTGTCTCCACAGCTCATTGGGGCCACTGGCATTTCCTTTGGTGCAAAACTGAATGAAAGATTCCGGATAGACGTGGTGGGGAACATCACCACAGGGTGAGCTCTGGTCTGTCAGGGAGGTGGGACAGCTCGAGGCAGGGCCCTGCTCTGACCTCACACATGTTCCTCCCAGGCTGATACCCCCAGTGCCACCCAAGACAGAGTTGTTTGCAACACTTGTGGGAAATGCCTTTGCCATTGCTGTGGTAGGCTTCGCCATTGCCATCTCACTTGGGAAGATTTTTGCCCTGAGGCATGGCTACCGAGTGGACAGTAACCAGGTCTGTGATTCCGGCCGTGTAGGGGCAGGTGGGTGTACACAGGTCCAGATGATAGGAGTGAAACAGAGAAAATGGCTGAGGGTGGGAGAACAGGATGTTTGGGACAAGGGCCAAATATTGGAGGCCATTGAGTAGGAATGGGGTTGGGAGTGTGTCAGCCTAGACATGCCAGGAGAGAGACCTGGCAAGACTTCTCATAACACTCTCTCCCCACAGGAGCTGGTGGCCCTTGGCCTCAGTAATCTCATTGGCAGCTTCTTCCAGTGTTTCCCTGTGAGCTGCTCCATGTCTCGGAGCCTGGTACAGGAGGGCACCGGGGGCAACACGCAGGTGGGCCTCAGGTGTGAGCATGCATGTGTGGGCATATGTCCATCTGGGTATGTATGCTGTTCTGCCAGGGTGGTCCACCCCTCCTCCCCTCACCCCTACTAACTCCCACCCTGTAGGTTGCTGGAGCTGTATCTTCTCTTTTCATTCTCCTCATTATCCTCAAACTTGGGGAACTCTTCCGAGACCTGCCCAAGGTGAGCCTCGACCCCTCCCAGCCAGCCTTCAGGGCCTTGGCTTGGCCAGGCCCAGATCAGTCAGTCTACTTCCATGTAAGGGACTCAGAGATACAAGGTTGAGCTCTTGGGGATACAATCTGGAATTAAAGGTCAAGGGTTAGAGCTTTCTAATCAGCCCCAAGGGGTTAAGGTTGGTGTGGGTGGCAGCTGGTTGTAGGCTGGCCTCTGCCCAGGTGCTTGGCCAGTCTGAGTGGGTCATGCCTGGGTAGTGGAGGCTGTCAGCCTCTAGGAACCTCTCAGCAACCTGGTGACGTTCTCCCTGCCCCAGGCCGTCCTGGCAGCCGTTATTATTGTGAATCTAAAGGGCATGATGAAGCAGTTCTCTGACATCTGCACTCTGTGGAAAGCAAATCGAGTGGACCTGGTGAGAAGCTTGGGAGCCCAGGACTGGGCTTTGGGGCCTTTGGTGCCAATAGACCCTTTGACCTCTGCCCTTTTGTTATCAGCTAATCTGGCTGGTGACCTTTGTGGCCACCATTCTGCTGAACCTGGACATTGGCCTGGCAGTTTCCATAGTATTCTCCCTGCTGCTCGTGGTGATCCGAATGCAGCTGTGAGTCAGCCATTTTTGGTACCCCCAATTCCAGCTTGGTGAGGGAGTAAGTTTTGCACTGGCTCTCCACAGCTTTCCTTACATCTCTAGGGACACCCCAAGTTCCTCATTCCCCTCTCATGGCTTTTTTTTTTTTTTTTTTTTTTCC